AAGCACAGCACTCATCAAAGAATAGAAGTTTAGTCTCCTACTAGTCATATATATGCATGTCATTACTTATTTGAAGCCATTAAAGTTGATTTGCAAATTAAATACAGTTTCCTGGGCTTTTTTTTTTTTTCACGGGTTTGACCGATGCATGTTTTACAGACAACACGGCGTCCATACTGACGAAGCGAGGCGGCTTCAGGAGACGGGAACAGCCTGTGTATCGGCTGGGCGTATTGATCACGGGTGGAAGTCCTTCCCTCAGCAGCACAAACACACTCTCAGTGCGTGTGTGTGACTGCGATTCTGACGGCGTAGCCTCATCTTGTGGAGCGGTGGCCTACACGGCGACTGGCCTGAGCACTGGTGCCCTTTTGGCTATTTTGGGCTGCATCATCACACTTCTGGGTAAGATCTGTGTTAAGTCCATGTAACAACTACGTATGCTTTTGTTGTAGTTGAAGAGGATGGTGATTAGTTTGTATTGTAATTGTTACTGTAGAGGATAAGGATAAGGTTAATCACCTTTATTGGCCAAGTATGTTACACAGAGGTGAGTGTTGCACTGCTTTGGCCACTATTCCTATGACATATAAACACATTTTACTTAACAGTTTACAGAAATGCACAGAAGTATCATCAGCAAAATGTATACAAAGTATAAAAACTTTAGTCAGTATGCAGAAAAATGACCCCATGAGTGTTAGATTATTATATATTTTATTACTGGTCAGTTATTACTAATGCTTTAGGATTTTAGTGTTTTTATTTTAAGTTGACATTAAGTTGATCTTTATATGTAAATATACAAACTAAAGTGGAGTAAATAGTAAATGTTTCTCTGAGATGTAGTGTAGTAGATCTGTAAACTGGTATGTACTGTAATGGTAAAGTAAAGTTAAGAGCATATAGTACATGAGTAAATTCTTATTTATTTAACCAGGGAAATCCCACTGAGGTTTACAACCTCTTTTTCAAAGGACCCCTGTCGAGACGACAGCATTACAAAGAAAGAATATCCTTAGTTACAGTCCACCACTGTCTGCTCTAACAAATGTGTCATGTCCTCAGACCTCATCAGTTAACAACTAAAAGAACATGAGCTCAGCTCACAACAAAAAGTCAGTTCAACATTACGTCAATGCAATTACTACACACAGATAGATGGGGGCAGCACAGAAGCAGCAATTAGCACCAAGCAAAAGCAGATCTGCAGGAAAGCAATAAAACAAGTAGTGGTATCAGCAGCTAATAGAAACTGATGTTGCCAAGCACACCAACACAAACTGAGCCAAGACATCGACTGTTGATGTAGATGTTGGCTCGTCCAGCAAATATTTAGCTTGGTGAAGTGAAACAGTGATCCCTGGGAGCTCAGTGTAGAGAAAGATTCTGACAGCAAAGCAGGAAAACTAAACTTTCAACCATAGCAACATGTAGTTCTATGATGAACAACACCCAGCCAAGTGAATTGTCATGTTGGGACTGTTTGCATGCTGCTCATATATTCAACAATACTGAATATATGAGCGCTAGTGTTAGCAGCAGGTTCTTCAGCATTTGGGTTAGTATATTAGCTCATGGCATCAACAGCTTAAATACAGCAACCTAATGCAAAAGGTGTCAGGAATATACTGTATGTTGAAGCAAGTAGAATATTTTAGTAGTGGAAAGTAACTAATTAGATTTATTAAAGTGTTTAACTACAGTTTTAAAAGTTTATAAGCGCAGGAGTTTAAACATAACAAGGCTGTAAAGGTGGACCAGTGAGGACATGAGTCTCCATGTTCAACGTGAGGACAATAATATCCCCAACAGTGTCTGTAGTCTCATTTACCCACTTGTTAGCAACCAGCATTTTTTAAGACATATAAAAGAATTTTTTTTAAAAACTTGTGTGGGTTATATTTTATTTCATAGAACAAAATATGAGAATGCAATGACCTTGTGTTACCACAGACCTTACTTCAGGCATCAAAACAAACACCCATTCCAAACACCAGTTGACTCCAGGGTGAGGGGACCAGAAGTGCAAAAATGATAACTCAGTTCTGGGTTTTAGGACTCACTGATACAGTACTCTATTTTTCATATTTTAAAAATATCTAATACACTTGATTGGAAGGATAACACCTTGTTCTTTTTGATTCTGGTATTTCGTAAAGTAGGTTGACATCTCCATCAACTTTTCAAAAATCTTCTCTTGCCAATTATGATTAAGTGTCATTATGTGTGCTGCTGTATTTGAGCAGACTGTACTAAAAAGATGTAATAAAGAGACAAAGAAGTGCCTGAAGGCAGCTTTAGATTGTGATAAGGCTTTAGATTTAGACTGTTTTCTTTTTTAAGGGAGCTCTCATGATGGCTTCCCTCAGAAACTTGTCAGTGTGTCTTACTAAATTACATAATGTTTCATCAAGGTCATAGTGATAAGTACTATGGAATACTGCATTGCAAGACTGACACTTCAGTTTTTTTAGTGCTATGCCATATGTTAAGATGTAACTAAAAGCACTTGTAAATGAGAATTCATTAACAAACCTTAAAGATGATGCAGCACTCAGCCATCCCCTCCAGTCTGCAATGCTGCTCATAAAACCCACACACATCTCATGCTATTACACCATCAGGGCAGAATCATAGTTTAACGCTTAGGTGATCTTCACTGAAAGCTGAGGAGGTTCTAAACAGCATATTCAATAACTGAAATGAGTTTTTTGATGGGGTCAAACTTTGCTTTTTATTCCAGTCCCCTTGAAGTTTGCAGTCTTTTAATTGCAACAGAGAATACTTTTTTGTGATAAATGAAAACTTCAAAAGAGCAACAGGGGGAAATATTTGGTCACGCAGCCCTGAACCCAGCATCGCCAATGAGAGCTGGCACTATTCCGCTTAGCATGGCCTCAGGCCACAGGCTTAGAACTAATGGCCTCCAGTTTAATATAGCTCCTCGTCGCCTTGTCTCTGTGTTTGTGTGTGTGCTTGCTTCGGTGTCCTCATCAGTCAGTTCTTCTCAATTGTATCAGCCTTTTTGCTATTTTCTGTCTCCTTTTCATGTGTGCGCCCCCTCCCCCTCTCAGAACACGTCCTTTTTTACCCTTGTATTAACACCCCTTGCATGACCGATCTTCCTTGATGGTCATCCATCAAGACCTCTTTCAATCTGTGGGTAGCAACTGAAGCTGTGATTGCGTGTGATTGTGTTGTTTTGGATGAGACATGAGCAGGAATAAGACCAGGGCTGTGTCTCACTGCTGTCATCTTCAGGTGCTGTTAGTCTTAAATCTGCTTCTTTCTCTTCTTTGCCCTCTACCCCATCAGTCAGTCTCTTTCTCATCAGGTGAGAGGAACACACACTCCCACCAGCAATGCTGATTGTAGTTATCTGTCATCACGACTGAGTCTAATAACTGCAATGCATTTGCCTGTGGAGAGCTCTCTAGAGTGCCAGTTGTCTGCTTTTCTTAGTATTCATCAGTTGTGTCCGAGAACAGCTGATACAAAGTGTGCATTTTTCGCCTAGCTGTCTGCTCTGGCTAAGATAAGTGATCGTTAATCAGATGCTGGTATTTTCAAAATTTCTGTAATCACTGAGCTTTTTCTTCTCCTTGCAGTTTTTTGAATGTCATTTAAAATCTTTTTTAATGACACTGACTTTTGAATGATACATCCAAACTACATAAACAAACATTATCTTGTTAAGATCTGGTGCCTTTTATTCCCAGTACAGGTCAGACATTGCTCAATCCTCTAGAGGCCCAATTAGAACATTATGTAGCACTGCAAATCTCCAGACAGTTATTTCTGTCTGAGTATTGCTTATCAGAGTCATTCTGTAAATCACCATGTCCTTATTTTACTGTCAGTCTGCTCTGCTAGCCCTCTGTGTGTAGATTTATGTGACTGTATTCAGACAGCAGACAATTTGTTTTTCAGATCTGATCTTGCACAGTGTGGTGACCTGTGAAAGACCACATCAGATTTGTGTCTAAACTCTAATTATATGCTCTCACAGCAAATATGCTAAAAACAAAAGGAGGAAAAGGTAATCGGTCCTGTTTTAACTGAGCAAGTCATTTCAGAGCAAATTCATCTTTATAATGGCTGAAGCTAAAGATCTCTTGTAAGTGAACTGGGAGATGAAGCACAGAACAGAAATGTTGATAAAAGAAATATAGGCACTAACATGGAAATTTGTGTGTCTGCTGATTTGATTGTTTCTAAGCTCTTTGACAAAAGAATACCGTTTTTGCAAAAGAGAGAATGTGAAGTTGTTGTCACACCGTGTTGGATTTTAGGTAAATGTACCATGTTTGCAATGACTTGCTCATTATCAGTCATAGAAATATACACTACATAAGTTAATAAGGTAATTTAAAAAAATTAATAGTGTCTTGTAAAACTACACACAGTAGTGGATGCTTCAACTACATCCAAACATGAACTTTTGTGTTCAGTTTGAGCACAGACAGGACAGAAACGGATTCATCTGTGACAGTCAGCTAAGGTTATCCATCCTGAATTGCCACAGTCAGTACGGTGAAATCTAAACGATTTAAGCAACTTTTTAGCCAAACAAAAGAAGAATTTATGTAGGTAAATACAGCATGTACCTCCAAATCTGGTGCCCCGTCCCAACATTCAACATGGCGTGACATACCTTCACATTTTCTCTAATCAGCTGAGAGAAATTATACAATCTCCACTCTTAGAATTAAATAAATCAGATGTTCTTTTGGAAATGTCAGCAAAGTTTTTGCAAACTAAAACAATAATCGATTAAGAGCTGAAGGGATTTTTGAGACAAACATACTAAACCGTCTCTATTGCTGACTTTATTTATTTATTTTGCAGATTTAAATTTTTATTAACTGTTTATTGGACAGAACAAGCTATTTGGAGATATCAGCTTGGGTTTTAAGGAAATTCTAATGAGATGCAACATGCATTGATCAAACGATTAGTTCAGAGAATACTTGGCAGAAGAATCAATGATGATAATAATCATTAGTTGCAGCCATAGTCCAGTCCTGCTTTACAAATTGTCTATGGAAAGCATACCATGCTGTTATAAAAACAAGATACTCTCATAAAATCAAGCTTATTGGCAGATTGAGTCGATGACCTTTTTGTCTGTCCGAAGCTGAAGATGTTTCATTCACTTTCACTGATGTAGCAGTGCATTCTGTTTGACATACCTTGTTCGACCTCGGCAACCACAGTAGGTTTGTGTTGTATCCTACCAGAAATTAGTATTTAACATAAAGCTGCCTTTTGTTTCAGACAGCATCAGAGTCGAAGATTAATATATCTCTTAGAAATGGCACCGAATCTCAGACGTGGGAAGTGTGTGGGTGACAATCTGAGTGAATAATCAGTCCCAGATTCACCAGAATCTCCCAGCACTTGGACAAGACAAATACTCCTCTAATGAGAAAGTGCATTTAATGATGCATGTTTGTAAGAAAAGGGCAGCACAGAAAACTCACCTTGTTCACTATCGATTGTGCTGGGTAGATCATTTATACAATTAAATCACAGCAAAAGCCTTTGTAACACTAATTTGGCCTCCTTTTTATCTGTTTTTCATTTAGTCAGCCATCAGTGTGCTATGAAAAGTGAGAGTCCTGCCACATTATGGTTACGTTTTTCCTAAACTGTCTGGGTTGGAAAACATTTCTCACAAGACCCCTGGTACCTGTCACAGTCTAACTATTTGTATGCTCCGCAATCCACCTGCTCATCCTAGTAGTACGTGACTGGATGTTGGCCCATCTCCAGTCTGATGCATCGTGCCTGCTTTCTAGCCATTAAAGTCTAAAGAGCTTTGCTGGAAAGCACAGAGAATATTCTATTTCCACGTGGCACTATGTAATTCACTTTGGAGAAGCCTTACTGAATTGAAAAGAATTTGGAATGACTTAAAATCAAAGGAAACAATCTTCCACAGAAATGTTTGGCATTCTGTCTCACAGCACTAGAAATACTCTCATGGATATTAGTAGTACTATTAGGCTGGAGGGACCATTGCAAGTATTCACAACAACTGATCACTAGTGATACCAGTGCTGCTGTTGTAGGGCCCTGGCAGTCACCAAACAGCTACTGGAGAGCTACCCACTCATCTCCTGCAGCAGTTCCACCCTTCCATCTCTTCCATTTGGTCCCTTATTAAAGGGTGTGAAGTGGTGTTTGAATTTGGTTCCTGGGCCTCTTTCTCTGCTGCCTGCAGTAGCTCGACGCCGAGTAGGAAAAGAAATATGGACCCACGGAACAATATTTCACTGGCACCATCTTGACATTGATGGATAGAGGATCATTAGACATTTGCCAGTTTGCCTGGGCGTAGAGTTATTTTCAGCAATAATGTATAGGAGAGGGAGCAGGGCTGGAGGAGGGCTTCTGGTAAGATCTCAGAGGGCCATGGATTCCAGTTTGGCGCAGTTTTGTATGTTTTGAAGCAAAATGTAGGCGGGGAAAACACAAAGGAGCACAACATATTACATTCCAGTTTTAGACCAGTTAACTAAGATAAAATTTGCAAAGCATTGGATTCAGTTGTTCACGGTTTCTTTTGCCAGACATACCCCTGTGGCACTGTCAGATGAACTCAAGTACTCTTTCACTGACACCACACATACATGTACCATGCCAATGTGTATGTTTTTATGTTGTAAACGATTTAAGTGTTTGGGTGGTGTGGTCAGGTTTGCATTTAGCTGAAAGCTGGTTGTCTCTACCTGTTTTTTAGATTTCTTTATTATTTCAGCTGTTTATCCATTATTTCTCTATAACAAATTGTACTGCTTATTGACTTTAAATATTTGTATCAACAGTTTGCTCATTACTTTTTGCTAACCATTTTCAACCATTTACTTTTGGCAATTTCAAATGATTGCAGTTTTATTTACCTGTTAAACAGTATAACTGTTTCAACAGTTTATCTATATGATACTTACTGACTATTTAGCATTGACTTAGGCTCTGTCTGTTTCTTCACAGTGATGGTTCTGCTAATTGTGTCAATGCGTCGGAGGAGGAAGGAGCCACTCATTCTTGAGGAGGAGCGAGATATCAGAGAGAATATTGTTCGCTATGATGACGAGGGAGGGGGAGAAGAGGACACAGAGGCCTTTGACATGGTTACCCTCCGCAACCTCAATGTCATCAGAGACCCCAGCGTGCGGCGTGATGTAACACCAGATACACCGACCTTTTATCATTACCCATCAGGTACTCGCCCATCCTATAAATCCCTGCCGGACAACGTGGTGTTTCGAGAGTTTATTTGGGAGCGACTTAAGGATGCTGATGTGGACCCGTCAGCCCCCCCTTATGACTCTCTCCAGACGTATGCTTTTGAAGGCAATGGCTCTGTAGCAGAGTCGCTAAGCTCACTGGAGTCATTAAGTACAGATTCAGATCAGAACTATGATTATCTCAGCAACTGGGGACCGCGTTTCAAAAAGCTGGCTGACCTGTATGGCAACTGCGACGGCACCAGTGTCTTCTCATAGCCCCCAGATGTGTCTCAGCATTTCTCGGACTTAAAAATAATAATTTATTGTCAGAGAAAATGATTTTTTTTCTGACTTAGTGCATTGGGAAAAAAGATTCAAAGACAACACAAGAGAGACTGAAAGAAACACATCTCGACTTAAAAAGGTTTTTTTTTTTGTTTGTTTGGTTACCTCCTTATATGGATTTTTAAAAGCGTGCCATGGTGAGTTTTGTCACAGACTCCAAAAGTGGCTTTAATGAGGAGGAAACCCTGTGTGCAAATGACATTAAAGGTCTCAGATTTTGGGCTCAAGTCCAGCCATTGACTGCAGAATGTGTACATGTTGGAGCATTTTTCCCAGGAGGCACCTATGCTTTCATTCCAGCAGTGGGCACTGGTCCAGCTGCCTTGCTTTGATGCATTCCTTTGCTATCTTTATGCTAAAAAAACATAAAAGTTCCTCATGAAATGTCATGTCCCTGGTGGCTAATCAGTACTCACTTGACTGTTTGTTAGAATTTTGACAATGAATTCTATGTTTTCTTTTGGTTGGGGGAGCAGGGCACTAAGGGGGTGGGTTTCATAAACATTTAAATACAGAGCCACATTATTCATGGACTCTGCCATACCCCAACACTATATAAAAAGTGCAACACATACAGTGCTGTATAAATAAGCAGTTGATGTACTAAGGAAGTGATATGAAGATATAAGACATAGGTGCAAAAGAATGACACCCTTGTCAGTTTGATGTCTCCACTGGGTGCAACAGGAAAGCATATAATTTCTCTTACTCTCATAATATATTTTGCAGGAGTTGCAGTGTAGTGTTTGTCTGGTTTTTCCTTCATCCTTTCTATTACCATGTCCAATATGTTTTCTCAGCCATAAAATGTCGGGTTTCCGCTGTTCTGCTTTTGTACAAGTCAGGGGCCTTGGGAACACCTGATACAGCTTCGTTGAAGGATCAGTCCTTGTTGTACCTGATTGCAAGATGCACCTAGATTAGGAAAAAGAGACAGTTCTTACCTGGGTGAAGCTGCAGTTTGTAAGTAAATGAATTTTGCTTCTGTAGTTTGCAGAGTCTAGTATATATTCTCCTGAAATTGACATGAAATCATGTCCAAGGTTTGTTTATTGATGGTGAAAGGACACACTGTATGATAATCATATTGTGCCAATTTTTTTCTAGCTTCAACAAATTATGTTACAGTTGGGTGTTGACATGTACAACCGATATGTATTATTATTTATTTTGAAGATGCAGAATTGTGCAAATGATGTTTTTAATCCTTTTGCTGTAAATAAAATGGACATTAAGTTCCTTAAAAGACTGGGGAGATTTATTTCTGTCTTATCTGAACAGTGGGAGAAAATAAATATACAGTAACTAGAGAACCTTTATGACAAAAAATTACAACCCATGTCTAAAAATAATAGGCAGTGATTTTAAAAATTCTCATCAAATTTGGGGAATTCAAAGTAGCAGAGAGAGGGGGATGGAGACAAAGGAGGAGAAAAGATTTTTTTCTGTCTTTTTGATGAGGCTTTTGTAGCTGAAACTCCTGATCCAAAGCACTGGTGCTCCTGAGAGGCCTGTGTGATGACTGCGAGGCTCACTGTTGGCCATCTCATGAGCCTTTTGCAAATTAACCTGGCCTGTGTTATGCAGTCAAAAGAACCTTAATTATAGGTGTGTTCAAATACTACATCTAGTGTGATGACTGACAAAGTACATCGACATGTTGTGTGTGTGTGTGTGGTATGAAAAATATACCTACATAGTTTTGGGGTTGTAGCTGCAGGATTTCAGAATTACTTTGCAGGTAAAAACTTTAAAATTGTTATTTTGAAAAATAAGAAAGTCTTTTTTCCTGACCTTGTGCATTTATTTAACTACTGAATTTGTTTGTCCATCATGCCAAGTACAGTTTCAAAAGGCTCAGTGTTTTCAAATAGAGACCTGACTACATTTGAAATCCATCATGTTTTCAGACTCGATCCAGACCGTAGCAAGAAACAGCTATTCAAATTAGATTTTTAATTCTGGTATTGTTGACATTTTTCCGGGTAACTGCACCTCAAGGGTGGTTTATGAACTATCTTAATTAGAAACAAAGCTGTAGTACTGAGCGCAGAGTGGAAAGAAAAACGTTTTGAATATATGTAGAAAAGACTTTTACTTACAAAATCTTTTCTATGCTCAAAATGTTTTTTTAAGTGTACAAATGTTTTGGGAATGTGTGAATAAAATGTGTAAGCAAATTATATTACATAAAGACTGCAGATAATTAAACGTGTTTGTGAACAGCTGTCTACAGATAGAAAGCAGCAAATTTCAGGACTCTTGGGTACTCTTGTCTTTAATTGCACATACAACTGTGAATGTGATTGGACAATGAGAATCCAATCATAGAGCAGAGTCAAGCTGTCCAATCAGAGGGCAGTTGGGTCTCTTGTGGTTTGCTCTCTGGTAGGCTCAAGATGGAGGACGGTGTGGCTTTTTGTGTGACACAGGTTGGTAGCAGTACAAAATCACTCAAAATGTAAAGTGCAGCATTCTGTATGTATGTAGTGCAGGTGCTTAGCTGTTATTCTGTGGTAAAGTTGTTGAACAAATGTATATTTTTGAGTTCAGGTGGCCTACTTTATCTGGGGTTAGGCAAAATTGAGTGCTAGCTAATGCATAATGTTAGCAAAACTCTGCTAGCAAGACGCTTTCCAGCTGAAGGCCAGCCAGATGTTTCCCGCTGGTTCCATGTGGTCAATTAGCAGTCCAGAGCACTTTTACTAGCATGCTTATTTGAACAGTGAGTTTGACTGTTAGAACCTGCTTCTAGGAAACTTTGTTATGACTTAATTAAACTTATCTCCGGACTTTCAGCGTTATGCATCAAGTTCAGTAGTGTTTAGACTACTCTGACATTTCTTTTATTCTAATGGAGTAGCCTACGTGCTCTTTTAATTGAGTGCTGCATTCTTCTGCAGCCGCTGTGTAACATGCATTTAGATTGAAGTCGAGACAAACCATCAGCTGCCAGTCATCATCCATGAACTTCTTTAAAGGCCTGTTTGGGTCAAATTCAACTCAAAGGTCATGCAGATCCTTACACTGGCCCATTTTTCCTGAATCCAACACATTAACTATGAGAACTGAATAACTTATGCAACATTTGAATAAAATTGATTATCTGAGATGATCAATGTTATTCATTTCACCTGTTAGTGGTCATAATGTTGTGGCTGATCTGTGTATATAGTGGTGTAATATAAGGTGGATAAAGGTAGGTGACACTAATTTCACCTAAGGTCAGAGGTATAGTCACAAGCTTTTGTACAGCTTTCGCTTACCATTACAGGGTTTCTCTTCCATGTTTGTGTCAAATGAAATTTGAATGAAAACCTACAGCGCTGATAATGTATATTTTATTAGGTACACCTGTACAATTGTTTGCAATTCAGTGCAACACTTTGGCTGTAACATCTGTGTTTATGAAGCTCAGAATGTTTGTTTTTGTTGAAATTGTCATGTATATAAAATCAGCTGTGCTGATTATTGAGGCCATAGTTAAGGCGGTGTTGTACAGGACTACACAATATTCAGAGGTATCTATATTTTTGTCCTCCCTAGCTACATATATGAGAGTCAGAATATTAGAAAAGCCTCTGAATATAATAAAGTTCAGTACAACACCACCTTTAATTATGACCTCAATAATAAATGTATAATTGCATTTTGAAGGAAACTGAAACATTTTGAGCTTCATAAACACAGATGTTAAGGTGGAAGTGTTTTCATTGAACTGTATACAATTGAACAGGTGTATCTAATAAAGTGGCTGAGTGTATTTGTGTATTTTATGAAAGTGGAATTACATTGGTACTGTACTAGTACTTGTTCTCATGTTCACTTGCTATATTATGGCAAAATGCACAACAGTAGGACCAGCCATGCTTTGTATAGGTGATATATATATACACACACACTCACTCAATATTTTGTTCTTTTTTGTGTGTTTTTAGCCACTACTATTTGTGGTTTATGCTGGTATGTGGTGAAAGGCAAGTTCATTTCATTGTAAAATTGAAAAACAAAATGCATTCAACTCAGGTCATATGTACTGTACATTGCACAATGTATTTGTTGTTGATTACAGTGCACTTGCAGACCTGCTGAGTATGTCATCAAGTCCAGAAGTTGGAGCCACACAGCCCAGTGAATAAGAGAAGAATCATGGGCTCACAATACAGATGATGTATCAAATCTTGACATCCAGATGACAGTTCAGTTGGTGAGTGATACTAAATTACTCAGAATGTTGTTAAAATTTAAAGTAAACAAATTCTTACTATTGTGGAAAGTTCTCAAAGTTTAATTTAACTTAAGTTTAGTTATGGGACCTGGTACAGTCGGTGCTTTACAACTGCAGATTAGTTTAAAGTACTGTTAAAGAGAAAGACTGTTTCATGGAGCAAGGGTAAAACCATACAGGGCAGTTCTTAAAAATTCTATTTGGTTCCTTAGGCCTGACTGGAGAAGCCAGGTGCATGTGGAAGACGTGAGAGGTCCTCTGCCTCAATGACTTCTACTTTGGGGTTGGGTGAAAGCATAGTGTTGACCTTTGGCTGCTAGAGTGGTGTGGAATTAAGCAGTACAATATCAAGTATTTTTTACACAATTATGAATATTACACTCTTTTTTTGACATATTTTTGCGCTGGCCTTTGTGTCAGTGTGAATGGTTTATGATTTGTACGGACATGGAGAGCCTGACTCATGAAATATTTGATCGTGTAAGGATCTTTATTTATAAAAGGTAATAAATAAAGCTGTTTACTCTCTGGAAAAGGTTGATTTGCTTTAAAACACACTGGCATTCATCCATCTTCATTGTCACTCTAGTCAGTCAGAGCTGAGAGAACACACACCGCTCTCCCACCATATGCCACAGCTAGCTGTTTGAATCATCCTTTATCCTCGCTGCCTCCGACCTCTCCCTTTTCTCCTCTTTTCTTTACCCTCTCCCACCCTCCTCCTTTCTCTGCTCATTCCTGTTTGCTATCCTAGTCCCTGTCGTCAAAGAAGTTTGACTACCGACAGTTTGCTGCCATTCCTTCTTCCAAACCCGTATACGACATCCAGGTATTGGCTGCATGCTGAGCTCCGGGTGTCCCCCCGGGCCTCCTCCCTTCTCCCTGGCTTTTCCTACTGCCTGTCCCTCTCTAGTGTCTCTGTTAAGAGGCATCAGTGCGTCTGCATTGTGTCTCAGTGATTGATCAGTACTTCCATCAGCTGTCTTGTTCCACGCATGGGTTGCATATTGGACAGACAAATAACATGCCCTTTCTCTCATGCTCTGGGTTTCCTTCTGCAGTAGTTTGCGTAGATTTGTGCGATACAGTTTGTTTCTTCCTGTTTGTGTGGAGGACGAGAGGGGAGGGGAGACGGGTGCTGGAGTGCGAGCAGGGCTTGTATTGAAGTGGTCTTTTATTTTTGGGGGTTCAGGTATCTGTGGTTGTCTGTCGCAATGTCAGTCTGCACCATGTGGGATTCCTGTGCGGTTTAGTTGTTGCTCAGTGACCTCAGTTTGTGCTTGTATCCTCCCTTTGGTGGGTGTAACTGAATTGGTATTGTTGTGTGTAAGTGTACTTGTTATGTTTGAGACTTCTGCACATGAACTGACAACCATGCTGTTGAAGTGCCACCTGCTGGCACATCACTGCTAGCTCCACTGTTCACGTGGTTAAGGCTTCAAACACTACTGCTCAGTTACTCACTGTCTTTTCTTTTGTTACAGACTCCTGACGCAGTTGACAACATGCAGTCCACTGATGACGGCTCCAGCAGAATGTAAACAGGCTTTGTGAAAAGTAGAAGTCACAAAAATGTGTGCTGTTACTTCATTTTATTCTACGTCATCATCCCAGATATCCTCTACTCCAAACCTACCCAGCCCACTGTGCCTGCCCCCACACATATTAAAGCATATTTTTCAGGAGAGGGTCAGACCCCAATTTTACCACATTATTTCCTGTTGTGTGGTTTTAGTTTCTTTCATTACCACATCCAAAAGCAGCACAGACCTCCAGTGTTTTCTAGAGATGGGTTAGACACTGATAACAAGGGAAGGTCAAACTGAAATCTACCCAAATAACATTACAAGTGTTGATATAGTAAAAGACAAATGACTTGTCTATTGCTTAGTTATCTGTTGTGCACGGTGCATTGTTGATGTTGTACAGTGGCTTCGTTGTGTCCACACGATACAACAAACCCCAGAACTGATGACCATAACGTAACTTCCCTGTCCTTCAACGTGCCAGTCTTTTCTGGAGCAGTAGTCAAGTAGAGGTACTGTGGCTTTTGTGGCTCTGACAGCCTGGGAGGTTCAGTGCCACCTGCTGGCACTTCGCTGCTAGCTCCACTGCTCACATAGCTTCAAACACTCTGCTGCTCAGTTACTCACTGTCTTTTCTTTTGTTACAGTCTCCTGACACAGTTGACAACATGCAGTCCACTGATGACGGCTCCGGCAGACCAGGTGAGTACTGAAACTTTAGAACGTAAACCGGCTTTGTGAAAAGTAGAAGTGACCAAATTGTGTACCATTACTTTAGTTTATTCTACACCATCATCCCAGACATTCTCTACTCCAAACTTACCCAGTTCACTGTGCCTGCCCCCACCTGTCAGAATCAGAATCTGCTTTATTGGCCAGGTGTGTCGGACACACGAGGAATTTGACTCTGGAACATCAGCTCTCAAAGTGTATGTACATATCCCCATGCAAGGGGCAAGTAAACAGTAAACCAACATAAGGCTGTGTAATATAACAAATGAAGCAGTATTAACAAGCAATAAACAGTGCATACAATGCAAAATAAGCAGTATTAACAGTAAACAATGCAGACAGATAAGGAATGTTCACTGTGAAATGGGATAAGTAGGAATAAAAATAGAGTACTTAAAAATAGAGACCTGTACGGATCTGTATAATCTGTACGAGGTATATTTACAGGTATTGCACTGAGGGTTATTGTCCAATCATACTGTCATTGGTTAAGTGTTCATCAGTGTGACGGCCTGGGGGAAGAAACTGTCCCTGTGCCTGGTTGTCTTGGTGCACAGTGACCTGTAACACCGTCCAGAGAGGAGGAGTTCAAACAGATTGTGTCCAGGGTATGAGGGGTCTACAGTGATCCTCTCCGCCCTCCTTTTGACCTGTGAGGTGTACAGGTCCTCCATGGAGGACAGGCTCACACCAATGACCTTTTCTGCAGTCCTGACTGTCCGCTGAAGTCTGTACTTGTCCTGTTTGGTTGCTGAGCCAAACCAGACAGTGATGGAGGTGCAGAGAACAGACTCGATGATTCCTCTGTAGAACTGTATCAGCAGCTCCTGAGGCAGGTCGAACTTCCTGAGCTGGCGCAGGAAGTACATCCTCTGCTGTGCCTCAGAGGTGTGCATGGACTTGGAAAGTCGTCTGGGAACAAGGTGGAAAGTCTGGGTAACGTTTCATTAGATGGCAAAATGATATTTTCATCTACTGAGCTAGCGTTAAGTTAGCTGACTTGCCTTGGGGCAACAGGTGTGCATATCTGAGTTTGAATACAAATAAGTGCAATGTAAATAGAGTGCAGTAGATAAAAGCTAAGAAAAATGTACACAACTACGCTATGTACAGCTTTTACTAATATATTTAAAAATCAGGTTTTTGTCACTAATATACAAACAATAAAACATTATTATTTTTAATATTTTACTCTTATGGGAGTAAACTGGTGTTCCTGAAGTGATAAGTCTGTCCAGTGAGACACAGACCACAACCTCTGGCCCTTCAGGCAGCAGAAAGGTGATGGATAAAATTATGGCTGTGTGCGGGAACCAGTTTATTTACTTGGAATATAGTTAGACTGACTTAAAATTGATGTTTATGTCCAGAGCAGAGCAAATAGGTAATGCTCAAACTGTAATATGCACAACAGTAGGACTAACCACACTTTGCATAGATTATATATACACAATATTATGCAGTTAATTTCCACCACTATAGTTTCATAAAAGGCAAGTTTAACTGGAAAACAATGTATTTCAAGACGTTTCATATATTATACACTGCGCAATCTATTTGAATACAGTGCACCTGAAGACCTGCTGAGTACATCAACTACAGAACTCGGAGGCACGCGGCCCAGCAAAGAGGATGACCCGACACCACAAACCTCTAGACAACAATTCAGATGGTAAGTACATTCTTCAGACCATTGTGAAATACTGTACGTAACATCAAATTCTTACTGCTGTGGATAGCTTCTCAAAGTGAAATTTAACATTACTTCAGATTAGTATCACTTAAATGTGGAACCTTTTTACAAGAGCAGTGCTTTACAACTGCAGATTAGTTTAAATTACTGTTAAAAATCAAATTTGCATGGCCTGTTTCATAAATTAAGGGTAAATAAAAATTGTTGAAGTGAATGTTCCTTATAGGCTTGATGGCGATGAACCAAGCAGAGCAACGACATCAGCAGTCTGGCCTTTTCTTGGGATTTGCCACCAGTAATTCGGAGACGGCTATTATTTCAACATGTGGTGAGATGACGGCTTGTATTTCAAGTTTGTTTGTTTTTTTTCTCCCCCCAGATTTTGTCTATATGTTGACTTAGAACTTTGCAGTGTCCATTCTGCATATATGTGAAAGGATGTTCACTGCCCAGGGTTAAATAATGTGCTCACTAAAAGCCTCATGGAGAAGATGTGATGTACTCTGCTGTGATGACTCCACCATTAGGGATTTCCCATCTTGCCCAAAACTTCAGCAGCATGTAAAAAGAAGGGTACTCGGTGTGGGAGATGGAGTGCTTTTCAGGGCCCTGTGTTCAACATTTTCAGCCTTGTTCTAGGCCCTGTTTTTGTTTTTTCTTCAATAAAGCTATTACAACTATTAAAACTGTCTTGTTCTGCTTTTAACATCAAAGATATCCGGCACTGTTTCAGGTCTCTTGGTTCTTCTCCAGCATGATCCACATCTGGGAAAACGGTCCCCCTGAAATTAAAATATTCATAAATAAGAATGGACAACACCTTGAAATATTTTCTGGGATTAAGTTTTTACAAAAATTGTCAAACAGTCTCTTACCTCAATGTCCTCAATTTTCCACAGCTGTGGTTCTAACAGTCTGGTTATGAGGGGGAAAGACAAACTGGACCAAGTTATTTTGTTCTGTAAAAAAAAAAAACTGTGTGGAGCACATTCCACTGAAGCAAGCAGTCAAATTAAGATGAGCATGGTTTTAAGTATTATACAAATATTCTGACTGTAGTAAAGTTTTTGAAATTGCCCTTAAAATGACAAACCCACATGCAGCCTGAAAAGCGAGTAACTACTACTATGAAGCCAAATTCTCAAATTAGGCTTCAGTCATTTAAAGTGCACCGAAGAATTAAACATTTTAATTATTCACATATTAAATGTTAATATCAAAACAAGACTGCATAGAGTACCTGAAGGGAAAGTCAGGTTTCTTTGCAGCTTCATGGAAGAACCCCAGAGCTGTGGATGCCTGGTTTTTGGCCATTTGGAGGATCAGGATCTGTGACAATACATTTAGAGTTAACTCAGTCGGCTACTCAAAGTTACTCACGAGTTTATCCACAGTGAATTAAAAGATAATTTTATTTGCCAGCTATACTATCAACTTGTTGTGTTTCACTTGAGAGCAATGAAGGTCAATCACTATGTTATGACAATGCCATAAACATTACAGATAGATCACTGGAGGTTTTTACTAAAGCTTCATTATCATACAGTAAGTCAAACTGTTACACTACAGTTCATTCTGACCCTGTGTACAAACATGGTGGATACAATGCAGAGTGAAAGCACTAATACAAATGCTAATATTCACACCTTACAGCTGCTGTCTTAAGACACCATATATCAAATTAGGAGGTTTGTCAGTGGAAAAAAACAAGATTTTTTTTTAAGCAGGGGATCTCATATCTTCTCTAACCTCCTTCCTTACCTTTACCACAGGTAACCCTCTGCTTTCTTCATCACTCCTTTCTCTCTTCTACCGTGTCTTCAGCTTGCTGGTTTGTGGAGGACCCCACCACGAAGCCACAGCGTCTATCTTAGCCCTAGTCAGTGTCTTATATTACCTGTGGAAAAAGCCAATCTTCTTCTTTAACCTTCTCCGTCTTCAATCTCCGATTGTGGGGAGGATGCTATCTCCCCCTGACCCTGGTGTCCTGGCTCCCCCAGCTGTAGCTTTCATGATGTACCTCACTGGGCAAATAACATTAAGGGCCTTGCTGGATGTATGTACCAGCTTATTGCCCAGCTGGCTGGTTTCATGTTCTGTGTGGACATTTACTGCAGAAGAAGTCTTACTGTCATCGTCTTCCCTCCAGTTCCCCTGCATGCCTGCTGCAGCTCAGCACACTTCATCCATTCATTATACCTGAAGACTGTAAACAGGTGGATAAGAGACAGGGACTGCAGGTTTCTACAGCTTAACTTAACTTAGTCATGTATCCAGATGCCAAAGGACTGGAGCTGGTTCTGCTGTGCCAGTTAAAGAGACTTCAAACTGTCAAAGGAGCAAAAGCTTGTATTGACAGCTGGGTGTGTAAGGTCAAGGCACAACACTCAGCCTAAACGGAAGTTCTTAGTCTTAGTCATGACCTTCAAAGTCAGCCTTTCCTACGTCGGAAAATCAACAACAGTCTCTTTCATTACAACCTCCATACACAATGCACAATGGTTAACATCACTGACTGCGGCACAGCAAGTCCGGATTCACGCCCCTGTTAAAGTAGGAGAGTTCGTTTTTAGAGTATGAAATAAACTCTTATGCACTTTGGGTAATAACAGGAGTCAGTAAAAGTTCCGAAGATGTTTCTGTAAGCAGGCGGATGGCATGATGGTTAAGGCCACTGACTGTAGTATGGAAGGTCGTGGGTTCGCGCCAGTTCGCCGAGCACAGATACCTCCAAAAGCATGACAAGCACGATTGGTCAGGGTGCGGATGCCAGAGGTGGGGACTGAAGATGGAGAACGCAGAAGGAGGCGAAGGGGGGCGGGGGAAAAGGTCGAGATAAGAAAGCAGATAATTTTTTTTTTTTTAATCAATCTTCTCCGCCCTACCTCTGCCCTCCACACATCTCAACCAACCGTACTTTCATGGTGATCCTTGCGGAGGTGCCATGAACGCCCAACGGTGCTTGTCATTGCTTTTGGAAGTACCTATGCTCGGTGAACTGGCGCGAACCCACGACCTTCCGTATTACAATCAGTGGTACGGAAGCTTTAACCACTGCACCATCCGCCTGCTTACAAAAACATCTTCGGAACTTTTACTGACTCCTGTTATTACCCAAAGTGCATAAGGGTTTATATCATACTCTAAAAACGAACTCTCCTGCTTTAACAGGGACGTGAATCCGGACTTGCTGTGCCGCAGTCAGTGATGTTAACCATTGTGCATTGTGTATGGAGGTTGTAATGAAAGAGACTGACAGGTCTCTTGACTAACGACTCGACTATTTGGCGGCGCAGCCCTAATGAGCCGTCTCTCCTACCCTTGACTTTGTTTAGGACACACAGTTCACTTGTTTTCAGTGATAGTAATGATGCACGATGTTGCTTCCTAATATTTGGAACAGGAGAGCCCAGTTCCTTTCACTGGGCTCTGGGCTCTCCTGTTCCAAATATTAGGAAGAAGGTGGAAGGAATACTTCGAGGATCTCCTCAATCCTGGCGACATGTCTTCCGATGAGGAAGCAAAGGCTGAGGGCTCGGAGGTGGACTCGTCCATCACCCAAGCTGAAGTCACTGAGGTAGTCAAGAAGCTTCTCGGTGGCAAGGGACCGGGGGTGGATGAGATCCGCCCTGAGTACCTTAAGAGTGCCTTGAGTATGTCTTCTAAATTTCGCAGCACTTTAAAGCTGCATTAATTAACTTCTCCCTCTAATTTTTGACCGTTAAGGGTGAAGTGAGAGTCAAAACACACTGGGACTCCACTCCTCTTTGCCCTCATACATAATATCATATCGGAAACCACGTCACATGTGGTCAGGACAGCCGGAGTCAGTTGTGGCAGTCAGGTAGTGCAGCAGTAAGATCTGGCTCCCGAACTAACCTATACAGAATAGAATTGATTCATCCAAATTTGTGCTACATTTCAGTTAATGCACCTTTGACTATATTATAATTTAATCCTCTGCTGGGTAGCTTGTGAGTTTCCCACCAGAGATCAATGAAGTCTTATGATTAAGCTTATGCTGTTTTCTGTTGTTCATCTGGTTCTGAAAGGTAACTAGAAACTCAAGTTATCCAATAAATTACAGACTTGCTATAGCACAGATCAGGTGGTTGAAAGTAAAGACAAGTACACATATCAATAATTCCACCCAAAGTCAGACTAATACAAATTAACCCTTTGATGGCAGTTTCCACTGTTGAACATTTGACTTTGTCAAATTGCAGAATTTGTGCTGTAAGAAACAACTGGGCTCTCCTCCATCCATCCATTTTCCTCCACTTATCTGGGACCGGGTTGCGGGGGCAGCAGTCTAAGCAAAGATGCCCAGACTTCCCTCTCTCCAGACACTTCCTCCAGCTTCTCCGGGGGAATGCCAAGGCGTTCCCAGACCAGCCGAGAGACATAGTCCCTCCAGCGTGTCCTGGTCTTTCCCGAGGCCTCTTCCTGGTGGGACATGCCCGGAACACCGCCCTAGGAAGGCGCCCAGGAGGCATCCGAAACAGATGCCTGAGTCACCTCAGCTGGCTCCTCTCGATGTGGAGGAGCAGCGGTTCTACTCTGAGCTCCTCCCGGGTGACCGAGCTCCTCACCCTATCTCTAAGGGTGTGCCCGGCCGCCCTGCAGAGAAAGCTCATTTCGGCCACCTGTATCCGGGATCTTGTCCTTTCGGTTATGACCCAAAGTTCATGACCATAGGTGAGAGTCGGAACGTAGATTGACCAGTAAATCGAGAGCTTCGCCTTACAGCTCAGCTCCTTCTTCACCACGACGGACCGGTACATCGACCGCATTACTGCAGAAGCTGCACCGATCCGCCTGTCAATCTCCCGTTCCATCCTTCCCTCACTCGTGAACAAGACCCCAAGATACTTGAACTCCTCCACTTGAGGCAGGAACTCTCCACCAACCTGAAGGGAACAAGCCACCCTTTTCC